CCAAGGCCAATGAGATTTGTTTGTTTGTTTGTTGTTTAACGCGGAACTCAGTAATATTCCAGCTATATGATGGCTGTTTGTAAATAATGGATTCTGGACCAGACAATCCAGTGATTGAAAATATGAGCATCGATCCACGCAGTTGGGATCAATGACATGCATCAACCAAGTTAGCGAGCTTGACCACCCGATCCCGTTAGTCGCCTTTTACGACAAGCATGGGTTGCTGAAGATCTATTCTACCCCGAATCTTCACGGGAGTAATAATACAATAAGAGCACTCAACGTTCTAAATAGCATTACATGTTAAAACTAATGGTTAAACTATTTGCAGATACAGATATGTCACAACAACCTTTTAATTCAGTTCAACATGCATTTACAGTCTGAGAACTAATGAGAGGGATGACCTTTCCTCATCTTAACGTTCACGATAGCGGCAAAGACTACCGATAACTCTTCACACTGATATAAAAAGGCGAATTGATTAACTGGACTTATATCGGCTTACAATGGATTAACTAGCGAGGCTTGATGAAATACATCCGATCTTATATCAGAATATTCGCTCGTCACGGGTTCTATTCCCGACATGGGTACAGTGTGTGAAGCCCATTTCTGGTGTTCCCCGTCGTGATATTGCTGGAATATTACTAAAAGCGGCGCAAAACATACTCACTCGCTATATCAGAATAGAATTCGCAGGTAACCGACAAAAGGAGTTTCATCTTCAACACTGCGGACCACGGACCACAGGAGCGTACCACAGCGGACTTTGGCTAGAGTACTACGGAGAGACACATTATAAATATTGCGCACATGATATGAAATACAAATGCTGTCTTTAAACAATTGAAATTTTAGGTTATTACCATTAGATTGACCCAAATCATAATATTAACTGAAGCCAGTATAATCGTCAGTATCTACGCCACATTGTAGGTTAGTTATTTCCTGGGCTTAATCATTAATGAATACAGAAAATAATGTCGTAGACAAGACGCAACCCTTTCTGACTCCACTAGATACTAGGAAAATATCAGTCAGGCGACTACTGATACATGACTCCCTACATTGGTTTTGCTGCTAAATAGAACAAACCAATAATACCAAGTGACCAGTTAAGATCCTAGACTATGCTTGTCGTAAGAGGCGACTAACGGGATCGGGTGGTCAGGCTCGCTGACTTGGTTGATGCATGTCATTGTATCCCAATTGCGAAGATCAATGTTTATGATATCAATCACTAGATTGTTTGGTCCAGACTCGATTATTTACAGACAGCCGTCATATAGCTGGAATATTGCTGAGTGCGGCGTTAAACAAACAAACAAACAAACGAACAAACTTAACATTCGGGAACCGGAAACTATGATATCCTATTGCTGCAAAATGTTACACAAGACCGCAGTGCGTAATGGCCGCCAAGCCAGCATGGTAGCTTATATAAACTGGGTAGTAATTATCACAAGGTTGCCCAGGACTTTAAGGATAATTAAGTTAAAAGCAACAAGAACATAGATAACCATCGCGTGTGACGTGTATATATATTTATTATCATACCCGCAGTGCTCCCGCTCAACAAGAGAAACCAGTCAATAAATTGATAGCCTATTTGAAAGGGAACCGGACAACCAGTGCATGTTCATTGTTTTCGGACAAGTACCTTGGCAGAGACAAAAAAGGCATCAACATTAAGTACAAAGGGACTTTTAATAAAACACGCCCGTCACAGAACATGTCTTCTCATTAATGGTATTTATTTGTGTTTTGAACGGTGTCCCACTGCCGCTAAACAGCAATGCCAGCAATTAACGACAAATTCTATATTCATATTACGTTTTCTATCAGTTTATAAACAGATGCCCCATTAGAATCAGTCCAGCCAAATTGGTTACAGCCTTGTAATTGTTACAGAGACAAAGAGACCTACATCCCCAAATAAGTCATTAACGACAAATCCCTTTCCATGTTCATAAGAAATATCTACATAAAACAGAGTAGATTGTAGGATTCCGACTATATCATGAGCATGTGTTTCTGAATCACAATCAAATAGTCATGATACCAGGTGTTCGCGGAAAAGGTGAGCGTACCATTTGCCACTGGTGGCATCCGTCACAAACACATGCAAAGGCAAGTAAATTGTTCACCTGAAAAAACACTGGAACATGTCTACAAGATAGTCAACTTTCCTTTCATGTCGAGCAATATTCCAGCACCTCCAGCCTTTGGGGTTTACATTTCGTAACTTTTTACATACAATCGAACATGCTCTTTCTACCAAGATTTCAAAGAGCGTCATACGACTCTCGCTCTTTATGCGTGTAAACGTGTAATTGGGGTTCGATCCTCCACCCCAAATGGTATTGTAATTGGGGAATGTGGCAGACATCCATTGTATATATTTTCGCTTAAGCGCTGTGTAAATTATTGGTTAAAACTAACGAATCTTCCATCCACGCGATACCCAGTAAAAGCCTATAACGTGCAGTTCTATCTGGATCAAAATGCCAGTCACTCACGCAATAAAAATAATTGGGCAACAAATATCAAAATCACCCTTTTCAGTTTAGGCCTTGGATACGCATGGATGGATCAGGGTGTTCGAAATGTCAAGATGTTTATGTCATTATTACCCCAAAGAGCTAAAGATTGTTTTCAGCAAATATGGATAGAAAAACTAAGAAATAGCAAATGTACATATACCTATTCTCTCTTCAAACAACAATTTATACTCGAAGAATATCTAATATATGTTACAATAAAAAAAACTCAGAGTATCGCTAGCGCAGTTCAGAGCAGGATATTATGATTTAAAGATCTATAAAGGTATATTTAAAAAGTCTAACAATATCTGTACATCTTGTAACCTTAATGTTGCAGCCATATTGAAAGAGATTATTTTTCGCCATATAATTTGGTACGTGTGTAGTTTATATTTTGACCTTTGAACTTCGACCATACTGAAAGATGAAACTTCTTTCAAACATTGCCTTTAAAATGTAATGATATTTGGTCCGTGTGTTGTTAGCGTGGAGCTAACCACATTTGTTTGCTCTTTCGTGATATGTTAAATTTTGAACTATATTTGATCATGACACTTTGACTGTGTTCCTAAATTCTCTAAAAAAGCATTTCCTCGCATTGTAAACATTATGTCCTCAGAAACCACTGGACAAATGAAGCAGAGTTTCAAACTGGGCTTTCAATATGGCCAACACGTCAGCCACAATGAAAAAGATATATACAATGTATGGCCTGATATACTCATATCCGTACAAAAAGTAACCAAATGTGGTATTTGTTTAGTTTCTTGTTGGATTCAACAGATATGTCTGAATATTGGGATGTCAATTCTGACAGCAATTCTTGTGAAGTGGCTACATGATTATATCTTTCTTACAGCTTTAAATAATTCATTAATGAACCTCAATAGGTTTTGAAGGTGACATGCGTTTGGATGGACACAAACTGCTTAACCATATACAGATTAGACTATTTGTCTTGGCTGGAAAGCTATTGGTAAATTGGTATGAGGACTATGATGTGACAGCGCTTGACATCTGAGAGAGGAGAGTTAAAAATGTTCACACATACACGATCTTCTTTCCATTATTCCAACGGCCGGATTCAACTGATAAATTATGGTTATATTTTCTTAATTTTAAGATTGCAATACAATATTTTTATCAATAAAAGGTATTTTTTTCAAATTGTGGCGCCCCTTTCAAAAATAAAATAAAAATAAGATAAATATTTAGAAGTCGCATAACTTCTCCATTCTTGTACAAATTGATCCTGTCCCAATAGTTAGTAGATTTCATGTCCCCATTTCATACCGAGTTTAGGGATGTTTTAGGGCAATGTGACCAATGACATGTTTTCAATTCTACCAAGTGAAATATATCGAATATCAGAATATTAGGTTTGATATAACCCTTCACAAATAAGTATCCTCCACGGACGCATTTGAAATATACCATTTGTGGCCTTCTATGTACTATACTATAGTGGTACAATATATTATTTCGTGAAGATTTACATGTTACCATGCAGACACTCGGTATTAGGCCAGGTTTACACAGTGCCGATTATGACTCCCGTTTGAGATCAGACAGCGCTAGGACGCGAAAAGTGAAAAAGTCGGATTACTATCCTCAATGATCTGGAATGTCCTATCATTGTCTGAACGCAGCCGTATACCTTCGTAACAGAGTCCTACGGATCGGGAAAGGTCCAGAGAGCACTCACGACAGTATGGTGCGACCCGTAACATTCGGGAAACTCAGCCGATTAAGTCTAGACGGATTACAATCGTGACTATGTCGTGACAGATTCTGCTGTATCGGATCAAAATCGTAAAAATGTCCTATGTTGTCTGGACGGTGTCCTGTTGATCGGGACGCTGTCGTGATGAACAGGCATGAATTGTTCAATGCCGTTTCTTGTCGATTGAGTCAAGATTGCGTCCAGATCTTGCCGAATGCGAACCGTCTTTGTCGGTTCACTGTCTGATCGCATTTGGGAGAATCGTGACGCTGTCGGGACAGATTCGGTCGTTTTTTACCATGCGGAATATACAAATCGGATCAGATTCGGATTGAGAGACGAATTCGGCTGGAAACGGCTGAATCGGGACGCTTTCTGAACAATATCTGATTGTTTGTGAATTTCCCGCCACGAATCACAGGATCTTGATCAGAATTTTGACAAATGTTAACCGGGAATGGTCCTGTCAAGGACAGCAGTAAAAATCCTGAATGTGTGGCAGAGACCTGAAGGGGATCAAACAAGGACATAATTTCGGACTTAATTTCATCTCACCAATAGAATGATGTCCCCACACAAGACCAGGGTACTGGTTAAGCCGTTATGGATTATATAAATTCATGTATATTAACACACTGATATGAGACGAACAGTGTGTGGTGTTCAATGAAGAAATCAAGAAAAGATAAATCGATCAGCCCCCGAGCGGAGTATCACTGTGTAGCAGAGTCATCAGCTGAACAGGACATTATGGCGATTCTTCTCTGTATGTTAATGGTTGGAGCTGTACACGGACTTCAAGGTAGGACCTTAATAGATAATAAAATGTTGTTTTCAGTAATAATGAAATGTTTGATTTCAGTAATCGTCACTCAATTTTGTGGAGGCCCACGCTATCTCTCAGAAACATCGAGCATATCCAGATAACCATTTCTGTACTTTTGTATTTCTACTTGATGAAATTCAAATGGTTGGCCTCTTATAGCTATCGTATGATGTATGATATACAGATGTGTTGGATATATTTGGCTCTAAGTAAGTGTACTGTATGTATATTCTGCTTTCAAATTAAACAATTAATGCGTATCAGATGAAAGATGTTTTTATCATTCAGTACCATGCAGGTCCATGTCCAGTGGTACAAATTTCATAACAATGTGTATCGTTTCTCTATTTATTTGAAATCAATTTCTCCAAAGGCTTAAAGTGTCCGCAAACCAATAACACTGTGTATGCATGTGGAGACAGAGTAAAACCACCAAGGAACTTTAGCTTAATTGTCAACGACACACTTATTTGTTTGCTTACTTTCCATGTAATTACAACGATAATTATTCAGGCTAAGTAACCGCAGTACACTATTACGGCTACTTCTTGTCATATACAAATTTAGGTTAATAAAATAGGGCCGACACAACTATTTCAGTGCCCTTTTCGGGTCAGTATAAGCCATGGGCAGTATCACACTTTATCGTTATGCAACTTCCCGAGGCAAGGGTGTCCACTAGCCTCTAGCACAATCGGTTCTCATCCTTTCCATTTCAAGCCCACTTTCTTGGTTCGGTCTTCAACTTCAAACTTGTGACTTGAAATGTGATCAGAAAATACCCTAGTTCAATTTTGTCAAGACGCTTGATTTTTCAACTTTCTACATCACTATTTCAGTGAGACACCTTAAGAACAAAACTTATTCCTCGATCAATGGGCCTTCTGTTACAAACCGTGGTGACAATAGAAACAGTTGAAATATCTATCTTCCGATGTTCAGGACAATTTGTCAAACATGAAAGCAAATGTCATCTTAAGTTTACTGAGAAAACAATATGTGAAACGCTGAACTTCCTAATTGATAACATCCATGTAAAAACTTTGGAGTAAGACATTTAGGCAAGATGAGCCGTGAGCACCAAATGTGCTTGCTGGTCTATCTTTTAATGCAAATAAATCGAAATTTCTGCCGCTGGCAAAGCAAAAACAAGGTAATTTGGCCAAGACGTTTAACTTAAGGTTCAGGTATATCGATGATCTGATATCGTTCAATAACCATCTAATCATATTTGATGTATGTATAAAGATTGAGAGAGACAAAACATTCTCCACAAGACTGTATTACAAGAGAGATGACTTCACCTTTCCAATATGATCTTTCCTTTATGTCGAGCAATATTTCTTTAGCTCCAACCCTTGGTGTCTAAAGTTCACAACTTGTGAAGTACAATCGAGCAGGCTCATTCCATGAGATTTCAAAGAGCGTCATACGACTCTTGCTCAGAAGTTGTTTGATGAGTGAGTGAGTGAGTATGGTTTTACGCCGCTTTTAGCAATATTCCAGCAATATCACGGCGGGGGACACCAGAAATGGGCTTCACACATTGTACCCATGTCGGGAATCGAACCCGGGTCTTCGGCGTGACGAGCGAACGCTTTAACCACTAGGCTACCCGACCGCCCCAGTTGTTTGATGAACGTTACCATATTCAAGACCTCAATAAAGGTTTCGAAAAGTTGTATGGTGGACACGTGGAGGGCATTTTCAAAATCTTCTTATTCTTATTCTTAATGGATCAATTTGAACGCAAATAGAGTTCGAAAGGTTATATCTATCAATGTTTGAAAGAGACGCCACAATTTGGAAAATACCTTTTATTGATAAATAATATTATATCCCAATCTTAAAATTCAGAAAATGGAACCAAAATTTATCAGTTGAAACCGGCCGTGGGAATAATGTAAAGAAGATCGTGTATATGCGAATTTAAACTCTCCTCTCTCAGATGTCAACCGCTGTCACATCATATACCTGATACCAATTTACGAATAGCTTACCGGCCCTGACAAATAGTCTAATCTTTATACGGTTAAGTTTTTTTTGTCCATCAAAACACATGTCACCTTTAGAACCTATTGATGTTAATTAATGAATTATTTAAAGCTGTAGGGGCGGCCGGGTAGCCGAGTGGTTAAAGCGTTCGCTCTTCACGCCGAAGACCCTGGTTCGATTCCCGACATGGGTGCAATGTGCAAAGGCAGACATCTTGAAAATCGGATCAAAATAGAGTGTCATCACTGGTCGTAAAGATACTTACATAATTCACGTTTGATCTGAATTCCATCATTCCAAGAATGCTTGTTTGAGATGCGGAGAGAAACATTGCTCGGGTATAATCGCTGTGATTGGAAAGTTAATGATTTATCGTCGAAATGCTGTGGGACAATCATTCAAAAACCCTCAAATAGCCAGTCCCCTTCCATCGATTTACCCACCTGAACAAGAAATAATAGGACCAGCTAGACCGCTTCTTCTATTTCATATTTAGATTTATGCATAAAGCTAAATGTGACAAAACTCCCTGACAAGAGGGAAGACGTCAACTTTTCAGTAGTCACCTTTACCTTCATGTCGAGCAATATTCCAACACCTCCATGGTTTGGTGTCTACACTTCACAACTTTAGACGTAAAATCGAGCATGCTCTTTCTACCAAGATTTTGAATCGGATTTTTCTGATCAGATTGGCAAAGCCAAAACAAGGTAATTTGGCCAACAGGTATAACTCAAGCTTCAGGTATGTCGACGATCTGATATTGTTTATTAACCATCAAATAGCCAATTTCCTTCAAGGAGCGTATTACGACCCTTGCTTAAAAGTTGTTCGATCAGGGTCACAACATCCATGGTCCAGGTAAGCTTTCAAAAGTTCTATGGTAGACATGTGGTGGACATGACCAAATTTGACTCATCAGTTAGACGATGTCCGATGCAATTCCATATTTTGACTTGTACCATATGTTCCTTCAAGAGAAAAAAGGTTGAACTCAATAAAAGTGAAAACTTGAATGAAAAAGTGTACATCAATATAGAACCACAGCGCTAGAAAATAATCAGTCTCGATTAACTGCTGAAGCTGATTCTTCTGGGTAAAAATGCAAATCACTAATGAAAATATTAGGAGTGGTGCACGGAAAATCAGTGATGACACCAGGTGTTCGTAAAAAGGGTAAGCGCATGTTCTGCCCTACCGGAGACCCGTGAAGATTCCGGGGTAGAATGGATCTTCAGCGACCCATGCTTGTCGTAAAAGGCGACTAACGGGATCGGGTGGTCAGGCTCGCTTACTTGGTTGATACATGTCATCGGTCCCAATTGCGTGGTTCGATGCTCATGATATCAATCACTGGATTGTCTGGTCCAGACTCGATTATTTACAGACCGCCGTCATATAGCTGTAATATTGCTGAGTGTGGCGTTAAACAACAAACCAACCAACCAACCAATCGCTCTACCGGAAGCACCTGCCACTCTATTAAACATGTCAAAAGTACATGCTACCATTATACATTTATAGCTAGCAAAACTGCATTTGAGTACTGATCCAATCAACTCCAAACACTGCATCTAAAATGACATTGTCTGCAGCCTATGTATGACTGGTCTCAAGATTTAACTCTTGCAAAGATAAACTCCATCTCTATCTCCGATTTGTCTCCTTAGTCTTATGACTTGTTTGTTTGTTTGTTGTTTGGGGTGGTCGGTAGCCTAGTGGTTAAGCGTTCGCTCGTCATGCCGAAGACCCGGGTTCGATTCCCGACATGGGTACAATGTGTGAAGCCCATTCTGGTGTCCCCCTGCCGTGATATTGCTGGAACATTACTAAAGGCGGCGTAAAACCATACTCACTCACTAAATTGTTTGTTGTTTAACGCCACACTCAGACATATTCCAGCTATATGACGATGGTTTTAACATAATCTAGTCTGTACCAGACAATCCACTGATTGACATCATGAGCATTGATCCACGCAATGGGGATACGATAACATCAACCAAGTCATCGAGTCTGACAACCCGATCCCGTTAGTCGCCCCTTACGACAAGCATATTCGCTTTTTACGGCAAGCATGGGTTGTTGAGATCTTCACGGCTCTTCGTCTTATGACAATATGTCTGCGGATTATGATTGGTGAATACTTCAATGAGCTCCCAAATAAAACTCAAAATATTGAAGTGACAACTTCTTGGCAAGGGTTTCATTCTCATTCGTAGATACTTTTTTCTGTGTTTTGTTAAATGCTTTGAAAAGTAACAAACAGGGTGATTCATGCCGTTTGCATCTTCCTGTAACAATATACCACTTGCATCACTTGCAAGCTTAAAAGTTTTCACAAAAGCTAGTGCTTTCAAGATTGGAACATTGAAGAGTATAGTTTTTACTCTTTCAAAAGCTGCCTGGCAGCGGTTACCCCAAAGAATTATTTCTTTTGTCCAAGAAAAAGGTTTGGAGTGACCAGCCACACCAAGAAATTTCATACCTTTTTATTTGTTGAAACTGAGAATTTGCAATACTTTTGCGATGACCGATGACATGAGCCACGGACACAACATTTACCTGAGAAAATTCCCATTTTGCAAGATATTCTGTTGATTATAGTCTCTCGAAGCAGGCACAGATCTTCCCCAAAATGACAGCCCCACTGGCTGATAAAGTCGTTAATGTAATTCTCTGTACCTTCTATGTCTGAAGTGACGTAATTCATGAGGCGTTGAAAGGTAGTTGGTGCATTTTCAAACCCAGATGGCATTACTTAGTACTGATAAAGATAAAAACCAGATATCTTCTTTGCATGCTCAGTCAGTCGGACCTGATCATACACCTTTGAAAGGTATAACTTACTTACAAACTTTGTCAATACAGTCATCAATGTTTGGTATTGGGATCGAGTCAGTTTCAGATAACGAGTTCAACCGTGTCAGGTCTGTACAACATATTCCCCGTGGGTACCCAGGGACGATAAATAAGAATGT